ATTCCTATATATTTTATCTTATGAATTTAAAAACATTATTCTGGGCTGACCAGTTAGCTCAGTTGGTTAGAGCACAGTGTTGTAACACCAAAGTCAAGGGTTCAGATCCCCATCCTAGCCAGCCAACAAAAACAAAAAGCAACATTATTCTGTGTAGTGGGTCCATGGGCTTCACCAAACTCCCAAAGAGGTCCATGGTAGAAAAAAAGGTTTAAAAAGCCCTGCTTGGGCCGCCCGTGGCTCACTCGGGAGAGTGCGGTGCTGATAACACCAAGGCCCCGGGTTTGGATCCCATGTAGGGATGGCCGGTTAGCTCGCTGGCTGAGCATGGTGCTGACAACACCAAGTCAAGGGTTAAGATCCCCTTACCGGTCATCTTTATTAAAAAAAAAAAAAAGCCCTGCTTAATAAAAGTATATGTTGTCCAACTCTTCCCAAAGGGATGCTTGACTTTGGGTGTTGACTCACCCAAAGTCAGACTCTGGTCCAAGTCCATCCCTTGGTGCCCTCAAGGGAGGGACTCTGGGGTACTTGTACCAAATGCAAACAACTGCATCAACTACATGCAGGGCACTGGGACTGTCCCAGGGGTACAAAATTAATCACTTGCAGACCTACTTCAACCAGTGTGCTGGAAGGTGGACATACCCTCACACCTGCTTGACAAAAGTGGCTGCGGGCCATCTTGGTCTACTAAGATTTGTCCCATGATACCCATCATCCTAGCCACAGCCAGCTGGACCAAGGACTTCACTAGTGTTTGGCTGGTGGCCTGGGAAGTGGCCAAGAGAGCTTGCCAAATAGGTACTTTCAGACTGAATGACAGATAATCAACCTGATTAGATCCTGTCTTTTGGGAGTTTCATTTTCAACACACAGAGTAGTCAGCAGAAGTGACAGACACAAAGCAAGTAAGGGAGAAAGGAAATGGAGCCAAGCGTGGGGATTTGCCAAGTTAGAGGAGGTCTGGCCTTGTACCCCTGTCTCTTCTGCTTTCTACCACCTAAAAGAGCCCATCTAACCTCTGCCCCAAGAGCTCACAGAAATGAGGAAGGCCATGAGTCCCCAGCTGCACAAGGCTCAAAGCAGAACAAGAGACATGCCAGAGACACAAAATGAGGAAGCTGAAGAGACTTTCTCCCCAGTGTCCCTGATCTAGTCTGACCTCCTCCTCCTGGCCCATGAATGGGCCTCTACCCCTTGAGCCCAGCGCCAGGAACCTGTTAACTTCCATGTCCTTGCAGGTCCCGTTCCAAGGACTCCCTATCTGCTTGATTGCTCACAAAGCAGCCAGAGCTGGTGTACTTGCCGGGGGAGGGGGAGATAGCAGGCCAGCAGAAATGGGGAGGGAGGGAAGGAAAGGTCTGTCACTCCCCATCTGACAGGCAGAGAGGCGTAAACTGCTCTGACCTGGCTCCTTTAGTTCCTCATGGCTGGGCTCCAGAGAGAGCAAACCTAGCCCACTCTTTGCCCAGAAACAGATTCAGATTCAACTACATTCACATATCATTTAATCTTAATAGAATTTTAGATACAGGAAATGAGGCTCAGAGAAGTCAGATGACTACAGTAACAAATGAGTCCATGCTCCTAGAACTAGTAGGACATACTAATTCTACAAAAACCCTGCACATGGGCCGGCCGGTGGCTCACTCGGGAGAGTGCCGTGCTGATAACACCAAGGCCATGGGTTTGGATCCTATATAGGGATGGCTGGTTCGCTCACTGGCTGAGCATAGTACTGACAGCACCAAGCCAAGGGTTGAGATCCCCTTACCGGTCATCTTTAAAAAAAAAAAAAAAAAAAAAAAAAAAAAAAA